CTCAGTATGGAACCATCTACAACACCACTGGCCCATGAATCCAAAATGGCCACTTTATCATTACGGGCTACACTCAGTACCTCAGAATGACAAAATATAAACAGAGTTTTATACATTACTGTAAATTTAGTCAAAGTAATGAAATGTTACATTTCTACGAGCATTCAGAGTTTTTCCTCAGTACTGAGTCGAGGCACCGCTGGTTGCCGTCACTGCCTCGAGTCTTTTTGATGTTGCAAACCTTGAATTAGCTTCGGTGGGAGTTCCAGGTCACTTCTTTTCTGAGGTCACCAGATGGCGCCAGACAACCTCACCTGAGATGACTCTCCTTGATGAGACGTCCAGCGTACATAAGGCATCTGATGACTCTCCTTCCACGCTGCAGCATTACCTCGCCAATGGTGCTTTGAGACATTTATTATTCTAGTGGCCTAAGTTTATTTCTTCTTCTTCTTTCGGCTTTTCCCTCTTCAGGTTTCTACACAGTGAGTCATTCTCCTCCGGAGGAAATGTTCCGAGCTCTGCGGGTCCCGTTGATGAAAAACACTCCCACATCATGATGCTGCCACCACCATGCATGGTTATTAGGAAGGTGCAGGTCCTTTGACCTCGTGGTTTGACTGTTGGCTAAAAGTCCTTTTGAGTCTTCACGCATCCCGTCCGATCAGTTTGCCGGAGGTGGACTCCAGATCTTCTGCACCGGTCACCCTCTCACACCGTCTGTGATCACTCTCTGGGTGTCCACGGATGGGAGTGAGGTTTTGTTCGTCTCCGTGTTCAGTGTGGGTGTGTTGCTCACACCAGGTGCGCCTCCCACCTGTACTCACACAGTTTGGCCATGCTGTAGCTCTGGTGAAACAGCGTCATGGCCGTGTCGTAGTCTTTGTCAGTCAGCAGAGCGTCGCCCAGTAAAGTGTAGATCTTCCACAGCACCTGGCAGGCCCAGAACCTCAGAGGCCGACCGTTCGAGTCCAGCCATCTGCCCTCCTTGGCCTGTTCCAGGAACTGCTCCGCCAGCTGCCTCGCCTGCTGCAGCTCACCTGCACGACAGAGCAGAGACATCCTGAGTGTGTTCTGTTTCTGGGGCGGGGTGCTCTGATGGAGGTGTGTGGTCCACCTCGCTGCAGGTAGAGCTCAGCCAGGTGGCCTCGGGCCTCTGAGGCCGGTTTGGACCCCCCTCCTCTCTCTCTGTCTGCACAGCTGTGGTAGAAATACAGACTGAGCCAGAGATCCCTCTGAGCTGAGAAGTACCGACCCAAAAGCAGGCGCTCTGCACAGACTGTGGTCCAGAGACCTGCAGACAAAAAACACAGCGCTGAAGCCTCAAACGGACCTTCAGACCTCTACCTTCAGAACCGGTCTGCTCCTCATTCTTCTGTACTCAACGCTACGTTAGCGGTGTTGATGCTCGTGCACCTGTCCGTTCAGCCTGCTCGGCTCGACCCAGGTGCAGCCGGATGGCCTCCAGTTTGTCCCGCTGTTCCTCCAGAGGTGGAACTTGGAGCCGGGCCGATCCTGGTTCAGCCTCCGCCCTCTGATCCCGGTCCGAGCGCAGGAGGGCGACGAGCTCTGAGAAGGTCCTGAGGCAAAAACAGGACAGGGTTTGATGTGGAGCTGAAAACTCACGTCAGCTTCGTCTCTCTGCAGAACGTAGCTGCACAGTTCCCTCAAAGTGCATGGAGTTATTTTGTGAATAAAAGATGAAAATGTGAAGTATTCTCTCTGCATCCTGTTTTCTTCTGCACGTCTTTCAGCATCTTTTCGTCGCGCAGTTTTCATCCATTTCTTTAGCTGTATTTACAACCTTTTACTGCTCCTTCCACGTGTTGTTCTGCTTCAGCTTCCTTCTGAAATTAACTAATTTCAGCTGCTTTCTGCTCCTTTTTTGATTTTTTCTGCCAACTACAACATTTTTGTGCTTCTTCTAATTTCTTTCTACTAATTTCAGCTTGTTATGCTACTTTCAGCCTTTTTCTGCAAGTTTCAGCTTTTCCTGCTAATTCAGCTGTATTTCTGCCAATGTCATCGTTTTCAGCTATTTCCACATTTTTACACTCATTTAAAAAAAATTCCAGCTTATTTCAGCAAAAATGTGTTCTTTACACTCTCTTCTGGTAATTTAAGCTTCTTTCTGCCTTTTTTAAGCTACTTTTCAGCTGTTTACTTTGTGTGTGGCTAATTTCAGCTTTTTATATAAACTAAGATATAAACTAAGATATAAACTAAGATGGACACTAAACACTAATAATGTAAAACAATACGGCGCATCAACAGCAGCCTGAACATGAGCCTGTGGTGAGCAGATGCATGAATGAGTACAGCAGCTCCAACACTGACAGTCATTGTTGTGTTCGACATTTTCATTTAGCTTGGGCGGCCATCTTTAATTGGTTTGCCTCCAAAAAGCCAGTTAGTTGTAGATTACGTCCTTCATGAGCTGTTCTGGGAACAGGCAGACAAGTGAACCCAACCAGACACGTGAAAAAACACCGTCGCCCACCTTTCTACTTCAATGGCTGTCAATAACGGAGCAGATAAAGAGAGTTGCTGCTGTGCAAATTTGACAAATTTAACTCACTAATGATCAAATAAACTCAAAAAACACGATAAAAGACTAAGAATGCAGGATGTTGGAGCCTAAAATAGAGAAATTAAACAGAATAATCTGTAACATTTAGTTTTAAATTGTTGTATTGGTCGTGTGTAATCTTGAGTTATCAAAAACGTTCACTTCATGGCGGCGCTCATGGAAAACGTCATACTTGTGGTTTCCTTCCTGCAGCAGCTCCACACAGACGAACTGCTTTGGACTGTTTCTAAACCTGAAACGAGACAGAAGTTCAGTCCAGTTTATTTCTTTGGCTTCAGGTCACGACAGGCGGCAGTAAAAACATTCACAGACGTAAAAAACACCAAACATTCAATGTTATCTCTTGGAGGAGGCCAGCAGTTTGAGCTCAAGCCTCACTTTGTCACAGTTTATTATCCTGAGCAGCTTACTGGTGACAGTGGAGAGAAATGACTCCCTTAAGAAACCAGCAGAACCAGAACCAGGCTCAGGATGGGCAGCACTCCTCCTGGACTGGCTGTGGTTAGAAGGACTGGTCCAGGTAGAAAAACATGTTAACGAAAACTACGTAACTATAGGATTTATTCTTCAAAGTAGATAGACGTAACAAACTATAGGATTTATTCTTTAAAGTAGATAGATGTAACATGAACTATAGGATTTATTCTTCAAAGTAGATAGACGTAACAAACTATAGGATTTATTCTTTAAAGTAGATAGACGTAACATAAACTATAGGATTTATTCTTTAAAGTAGACAGACGTAACAAACTATAGGATTTATTCTTTAAAGTAAACCAGAACTGTGCTGGGCTGAAGCGAAGCGTGATGCGTTCAATGTTTGTCGGACGTCTCCCTCGTGTTATATATTATAATGAAGTAACTCACTTTATGAATCCTGTTTGTGGATAATTATTATTTTTTAAATAACTACAAAGCTGCTGCGCATCATCATCAATATTCCCTCGGTTATAAATCTGTTTGTTGTTTGATCCCACGAGCAGGCGGTCACCACTAATGTCATCAGTTCATCACATTACTGAGCCGCAGCTCCATGTTTTTTGTCCTTCACAGGTCGGCTAGCCCGGCCCGGTTACTTCCTCACTCGGCAGCACAGAGTCGCACCAGAGGCCGGGGCCGCTTTGGTGTAGAGGTACGGCAACCGACTTGGGACAAGAAAGTCACAGGTTCAACTCTCTGCCATGCCCATGTTGCGGTGTCCTTGAGCAAGACACCCGACCCCTAACTCCAGTTAAGACTCTGGCAGCAGCATGTTGGATCACCTGAAGACGTTTTAAAGAAGTATTTGGACACCCAGATAATAAACCGTTGCAATAGTCCAGTCTAGACGTGACAAATGGATGAAGCATCATTTTGGGACAAGATGTTTCTGTTACTGGAATTGTTCAGGTGGAAGAAAGCGGTCATGTTCTGATCCAAATGCACACAGAGCTTCGTTACATCAGAACCAAACTAATGTCATCTGCAGGAAGTGAACGGCTGCAAACCACAAGTTTAAAAGCAGAAAATGACGAGTCCTGCTGGGTTCTACATCTGTAAAACCAGCTTGTGAAGTGACTGACTGACTGGTTTCATCAGGTTTCAAGGATAAATAGAAGGAAGAACGACAAACATTAACAGAGAACACAAGAACAGAGTTCTTTGTGTTGATGATGAAGAGCTCTGCAGGGAGATGTGTTCCTCTGACAGCAGGGGGCGCTGAAACCCCACAAAACTATCACTTCTCAAACTCAAGAATCACCAGGGACAGGTATGAACCAAGAGACGATCACCTTTAAGATGAATAAAACCTTGAATCAAACTTATGATACTTGCTGCGCCTCATCATGGGGGGGTTAATGAGTTTAAGAACCAAACTTTAAAAGAAAAATAAACATTTCACCACAAAAAAATGATTTTTGAGCCCAAAGAAGGGGAGGATGCTACGAATGAGGCAAAAATTCAGAATTAAGGCCACACCTGTCGGTTTTTATTGACAGAGAAATGGTCAAAAATGGAGGATTTTTATCCCCTTATGTATAAATCAGAACGCTTTTTAAAAATTATCCGTGCACAGCGAAGTACAACGAAATTACTTTCCGTACAGCGATCCTAAAGATGGACAGAGTGTACAGGGGCTGCAGCTTCTAAGATGTGCTGCCCCTGTTGCTTAGATAAGAAAAGAGGAAGAAAACGTAAAGAGAGAGGCATAAAAAACAAAGGTCTCCCACAGTGTCCTTGACAGGGCACGGTTTGAGGCATCAAAACATCTGCCACAGCAAAGCAACATACATAGACGTAAGACACACGCGTGTGGAGTGGGTAGGGGGTGGGGGTCCCAGCACGGCCGCCAGGTGAGCGACGAGCCCATGGCGCCTTCGCTTCTTCTAGGTTGCTGCACCAGGAGAGGCGACGGAGGCCAGTGGAGGCACTGGGTTTGAGGGAAGATCGTAGCACAGCACTGTCCAGCCATAGTCCTGATAAGAGCTGTTTGTTTATCAGCCAGCTCAGGTGAGCTCTGTCGCAGGTCCACGACCAACCGTTCGTGGACACGGCCAGAGAGTTCCACAGTCCTGATAAGGATTTTGATACAGCGCCACATATAGTTCGCACATAGTTCAAACAATTTAAAAGTTTTTATTTTAAATATTAATATGTGATCGTGAGGACGTCAAAACCCTGGTGATGTTTCTCCTGATGGTTCCTCTAGGGATGCCGAACTCACTTACCAAAAAATTAAAAAACTTTGTCCGAGCCACTTTCGGCTGATACGTTAGCTGGAGTCAGATACCTGACATCTTTAGTTGGTTGCAGGTTCATGAACAAGAGTTTGATCTGTCTCACGACGTCCTGTTGATCGGTCCACATCAGTAATGACAGAACGAGTCGTCTTTCTGGCTTCAAAGTTAAACTGGCACGAGAAGTCTACAATAAATTATGTATTTATCAGTTTGTTTGTTTTTATTTTAGAAAAAAATAGAAGAGATATAATGTTTGGCATTGAAATTATCTTGGGGACCAGATTTGGCCCGCGGCTCTCGAGTTTGACAAATGTGTCAGATCGTCACCGATTTGTGGATTTTCTTCAGTTCGTTTTCCACGACTCGTTACTTTTCATCATTTAATGAGTTTTTAGACACAAAGAACGAATTGAAGGGCCTGATGCGGAACATCAAGCAGAACTAAGTCTCACTCAAAGTTAATTAGTGACATTTATGTGTTTTTCTTAATAAAGTGTGTGTTTTAGCTGCTCTCAGCCGTGACGTGCTCTTTGTGATGTTTTATTTGGACCAACAGGTTTGTAAAGTTTTCGTGGGAACGTTTCGGCTGAACTCACAGGGCGATGTCTTTCAGGGTCGGAGGCGGTTCATCCGAGACCCGTTTGGTTCTGAAGGACGGCTCCACCCTGAGGACACACACAGGAAATCAAACCACCGGCTGCACGGACAGCAAACATCAAAAACCTAAAACTAGAACTTGGAGTGTTTGTTTACAGGAAGAACGATAGAAAACATGTTTTCAAAACAAATCATGTTTATTACTGCTCCTTTGTTTTTATTTACTGCATCATGTTTGTTACATTTACCTTTAAAGAGAAACATTTTATTTAAACACTCTAAAGATGTTTTAGATTGTATATAAAATGGTTTGTGTGACCGAAATTTAAAGATTAATTTAAATAAACCGAGTTATAAAAATGTAAAATAATCTCTGATCTTTGAGTCGATTCTTTTTATTTCAAAATCAACAAAAACAAACGAAAACAACATTTGTTTACATCAGTTTTAAACCGAGTCCAGAAACTTCATTTCTGTCACTCTACCTGTGTCTCCACCTGTCCTCAGGTGTGTCTCAATCTGTCCTCAGGTGTGTCTCTATCTGTCCTCAAGTGTGTCTCTATCTGTCCTCAGGTGTGTCTCTACCTGTCCTCAGGTGTGTCTCTATCTGTCCTCAGGTGTGTCTCTACCTGTCCTCAAGTATGTCTATACCTGTCCTCAGGTGTGTCTCTACCTGTCCTCAGGTGTGTCTCTACCTGTCCTCAGGTGTGTCTCTACCTGTCCTCAAGTATGTCTATACCTGTCCTCAGGTGTGTCACTACCTGTCCTCAAGTGTGTCTCTACCTGTCCTCAAGTGCGTCTCTATCTGTCCTCAAGTGTGTCTATACCTGTCCTCAAGTGTGTCTCTATCTGTCCTCAAGTGTGTCTATACCTGTCCTCAGGTGTGTCACTACCTGTCCTCAGGTGTGTCTATACCTGTCCTCAGGTGTGTCTCTACCTGTCCTCAGGTGTGTCTCTATCTGTCCTCAGGTGTGTCTCTACCTGTCCTCAAGTGTGTCTCTACCTGTCCGGAGGACCTGTCTTCCGGTCATCGCCTTCATGTAGAATCTTGGGAAGAAACGACCGATGAGGTTTATGTTTTTCAGCTGGGTTCATCTTTAGCTATCAGTCTGGAGGACAAGGAAAACTGGAGATCAGGTTTGACTTCAGCTTATAGGCGGTTCTTTAATTATAAAACTGAAAAAAGCTGAAAGATCCTGCAGAAGCTGAAAATGAGTTGCTAAAGCTAATAAATGCAGAATTAGCTAATAGCTAAACAAAACAAATGCTAGCTAATAGCTAAAAGTAGCAAAAACTAGCTTAAAGCCTAAAGTTGCAAAATGCTGGATAAAAGCTAAATGTAGCAAATGGTTAACTTAGAGGTAAAAGAAGCAAAAGGCTTGCTAAATGCAACAATAGAGCTAAAACAAAAAAGCAAAACACTAATTAAAAGCTAAATGTAACAAAAATAACAAGTTAATTGGGCAAAACAGTAGCCAAAAAAAAGAAAGAAAAAAGAAAAAGAGCTAAAAATAGGAAACAGATAAAAATTTTAAAACGGCTGAAAGCAGAAAAAATGTAGCATCAGTGATATTAAAAGTATCAAAACAGCCGCTAACAGCCAAACCAAACAAATGCTAGCTAAAAGCCAAAAGTTGCTGGCTGAAAGCTAAATGTAGCAAAAAGCTAAGCAAAAAAAGTCAAAAGGTAGCAAAACATTTGTTACAAGTAGCAAACGAGCTAAAAGCAAAAGGCTAGCTAAAAGCTAAATATAGCAGAAAAGTTGACCAAAAGTAAAAGCTGTAAAAAACTTGATCAAAGTAAAACAAAAGTAAAATCACAAAGTAACGAAAATAAGACAAATAAAGTTGTTTTTAATTTAAAGAACGACGGTTTGAAGGATTTTAATGTTTGTGAATAAATATAAATATATTTAAAGTGACTCAAACCAAACCTCTGCACCCGCAGCTGAATGAGCGGAACGTTTGATGGAAAACAGCTGAAAAGGCGCAATTTATGCGGAAGTGCAAAAAAATCACCAAAGACCTGGACTCACGTTCAGGTCCAAACCTCTCCAGAGCTCCTGGTTCTGAAGGAACTGGTCCCGAACCACAACAACCTCCGTCTGAGCGACAGACAGCACAAAGACAGACAGTTTATCCCTGAAGACGAGTTCGCATCGCGACCGAACAGCTGAGCGACTTGGTCTCCATGGCAACAGGAGGGAGGGGGGCGCGTTCCGCCATGAGCAGCGGTGACACGTGTTCAGAAGTCAAACAAAAAAACAAACAAACAAACAAATCTGTCAATAAAGTTAAAGGTAAGTAGGTTCAAACAGAAACACATGACCTAAAAACCCTACTGTTGTTATTATTATTTTTTATTTATGGTTATGATGATGATGATGATTATTATTGTTGTTATGATTATATTGTTATTATTATT